AAGTCAAGACTGTTATCAATTATAACCCCCAAACATTTATATGTATATACACATTCCAATTGGCATCTATTTAATTCAATCGACAGCATACTGTTATCTAATGATCTAAGCTTTAGCTTTGATCCTAGCAGCATCGTTTTGGTTTTATCACTATTCAAAATCAACTTATTTTCATTCAGCCAAGAATTCAGTTCACCAAGAGCTTTTGTCAGTTTGAGTTCTACCTCTTGTTTAGTTTTTCCACATACAGAAATTGTAGTATCATCCGCATACATATAAACAATGCCATTTGAGATGGAACATGGGAGGTCATTAACAAATAGAGTAAAAAGGAGCGGGGCCAGGATGGACCCTTGTGGAACTCCCATTGTTATATTTCTAAATGTTGATTTTCTTTCCCTAATGAGACAAATTGTTGGCGATTTTTCAAGTATGATTCAAACCATTTAATTACATGCGGGGAGCAACCATATTGATGTAATCTATTTAAGAGGAGAGAGTAGTTGACTGTATCGAATGCACGACGGAGATCTATAAAAGCTACACCATTCAAATATCCTTTGTCTACATTGTCTGACCACTGGTTAACCATGCATAATAGGGCTGTTTCACATGAGTGCTTAGGACGAAATCCAAATTGGTTCTTATAAAATAGATTATGCTGAGACAGATATTCAAAGATATTTAAATAAACTGCCCTTTCAATTATTTTAGATAAAATCGGCAATATATACACGGGTCTGTAGTTTTTCATTATGGTTGTATCCCCTCCTTTGGGAATCGGTTGGACTCGGGCTATCTTCCAAGCATCAGGGTATACTGAAGAATGCAAAGAAAGATTGAGTATATATACTAAACTTTCCATTACATGAAAAATATCACAGATATATTTCAGTATTTTAACGGAGAGTTCATCATACCCAGTTGCTTTTTTGCAAGTATATGATTTTATCTGTTTGATGACGAAATCTATCGAGATATTTGAAAAGTAAAGTAAATCACCGTTTGTTTGTTTTTCAAGATTTTCTTCAAGTGATTCACATCTCTTGATATTTTCGGTCTCTAGCTCAAAATCTTTAGTGAGTTCAGAAACGGAGTCAACAAAATAGGTATTAAAATATTCAACAACCTCCTTCAAGTCTGATATTGCAACATCGTTTACATTCAATATTATATTTTTAGACTGACTTTTCTTAGTAAGACGTCGCATAACATCCGATAACGCATTTGCGTTTCCTAATTTGTCGTTCAATAATGAAGTAATGTATGATTTTTTAAGATTTTTGAGTTCACGTGTAATAAGATTTCTGCATTTTTTATATTGTTCCCAAAAATCTGACGACGAGAGCTGTATTGCTTTATCACGAAGGTAGTCCCTCGTGTTCATCAATTTAATGACGTCACCTGTCACCCAAGGACATGGATTATTTCTTAGACGTTTTCTTTTGTATGGTGCACACATATTTACAATTTCCATTATCGGATTGTACCATATATCCCATGCACAGTTTACATCCTTACACTGATATACTTCTTCAAAATGCACTTGGGAAAGTAAAAAATTGAATTCTGCAAACTCAAAACCCTTAAAATCTCTCCATTCTATGATATTTTCTTTTTGAGTAATATCAGCATCACCGTAAACGGTGAAAATCATATAATGATCACTAAATGATGTTTTTAGCACTCCATTCAAGGAGTGATTTTCTACGTCAGTGGAATATATAAGATCAATAATAGTTTGCGACGTTGTCGTCACTCGTGTTGGAACATCAATCAGTTGATCGAAAAGAAAACCAGACATCATCTCTTCGAGAGATCGTGATAAAGAGTTTATGTTATTTGGACACATATCACAATTTAAGTCTCCAAGTAATATAATTTCCACATCTGTATTGGTGACAGCTTGACTTAACATTCCGTTCAATAAATCAAAGTAACTTGACGACGAATTTGGAGGTCTGTAGATAACACATATAAGAAGTGTTTCTGAATGTTTTGGCGATAATTTTACCCACAGAGCTTCAATATCGTCGCAAGTAATATTATTTTCATACTGGCAACTTACGTCATCTTTCACGTACAGAGCCACACCCCCTCCATGCCGGTTGCGGTCTTTGCGGAAAATATTGTAATTTTCAATGTCCAAATCTTCCAAATTGCGGAGCTTTAATATTCGTGTGTGCGTATCGTAGAAACAGAACATCGAGTGCAATCTGTAAGATTTCTAATTGTAGTTAAGTACGTTGACACGCATGATCAGTCGGCGTTCGTCGTGTTCTCGTCCACTCAATCTAAAAATCCCTATTAAGCTGTCAAGTCGACGGGGATTCTACGCACTCTATAGACTGGCCAAGCGACCAGTGTAGTCATCGACAGAGATAGAGATGAGCTGCAAAGTCGACGGGGATATCTACGCAGTCTAGAGACTGGCCAAGCGACCAGGACCAGGAGGGACTCACGAGATGGAAGCTGCCCTGTTAAAAAGTTATGTTCTATTAAATTGTTTATGTTCTGTTGATTTTTGTCGCCACGATTTGTAGGCTGAATATTAAACCTGTTCAGGTGTGGTTTTCTGATGAGGTAGCAGAGTAAATGATTTTTAAAAAAGTCACTCACGTGACAGGGACATAGGGTAATTGTGATTTTTCAGAGGTGTTTATAGCGCTTGCGTTGTCATTTCTAAAAAGATTGAAATGCCATTGAGCGTCAACTGGCTTGCTAGTGTTTATGTTGAGATATTGTCAAAAATCGGAATAAGTCAGCATTCTATTTCTGCAGCGTTTGTTATTAATTAAAATGTCATGAGAACACAGGCGTATGGATGATTTCGAGTTAGTAATCACAAATGTACCTGACAGGATTTAAAAAAGAAGATTGCACTGCACAGCTATGGTACATATAAACTAATGCAAAAATAGATTTATGTATGATTAAAAGTTAAGGTTAATAATCACTGGCTTTGGGGGAGAAAAAACAGCTATCTGGATGTTTATTTTCCGTACAATTTGTTTTCTTTTATATAGAGAAGAATCGTCTGATAGCCTATTAATGTACGCTTTCATTTAACAAGATTGATGGGCTAATTAATTACCTTATAATTCTTCGTTAACTTTCAGGTTCTAAAAGTAGCTTTCCTGTACGCACTGTAACAACAGTGCTCGTGGCTTCTGCTGGGGGTTATCCTGCGTTTTAAACTCAAACTGTGAGTTCTGTTTACTTAATTTCTTTTAAATCATTTCAAATATTTGTTTTACATCTTCGTTTGAGATGAACATGAATCACATTATAAACATAATTCCATGTATTAATCGAGCATTTAGAAAATGCTTTTGGCATGTATTAAGTCACGTCATGCAAATCATTGTTCTGGATCCTTCTGTTGTGCAATAGATCCAAGGGCTAAGGCCAAGTGAAAATGATTTCTAGTTTCCAGTACCCTGTTTCTCTCTTTTTATGATCCGCCCCTTTTCCAGTGCTTCATATTTTTGTTTTGATATCAAATAAAGAATAATCTGAAGTATCTAAAAAAAAAAGCTGGCCTGTTTTAATAGTGGATGGACAACTTTTTTCAGGATTCGTGTAGAATCCGATAAAAGACAATTTGCATATTGGGGAAACCTCCTTTTTACATTAAATAAAAAGCGAAAAAACCTTACGAGGAACTAGGAAACAATTTGACTCGGCCTACTTGAGTTTCACTAAACCAGTGTCACATTCTCATCTCATCTTTGTCCTGTGTTATTTTTTGTCGATTCACCAAAACGTATGTCCAATATTCGACATAGGCTAATTGATGATTAATCGTTTTGTGTGCATTTTGATGTTTCTTGAATCTGTGATTCCTATTTGAAGAAAAACCAGCAGCCACGAAATAACTTCGCAACTATAGGTGGATAACATTGCATATATGAACCCCATTCTACATCGCCAGATTAACCAAAACGACATGAGCAGTAAATCCAGGGGCGGCGATCCCGGGGGGCGGGGGGACACGTCCCCCCTAAAAATGAGAACAAAACAAAAAGACGAGCAGAACGTTTGAAAGTGTTGATCTTTCCACATTATTTATTCAACTGTATATTAATGTTAATGAAGTAAACAAATCAATTATAATAATATGAAAGGAAAGTAAACGAAGGATATAAATTAAACCAGGAGCAGCGATTTCATGTTATTAGCAGATGGGCAAAACTTTACATATTTGTATGTAATACCTCGTTTATGTAGATCTTCTTCCATTAAATTGTACAGTTATATTAAATCATGCGATGGAGTGTAGAGACTGAGCGATAAGATTATCCATTTTTAATAATTTGAACGTAGCATTCTCGATGAATTCAAGTCCTTAAATTGTGCTGCAGCTTTTACTAATCATTTACTAAACATTTTCTGGCACTTTTTTTATTAGTTACCGGGGGACTACGCCCCTGAAATAGTATAACCATGCATGTATTTATATACAATGAAATATAACGCCATATTATTTATAAAATTTTGAAGTTATCTTTCTTCATATTGATAAAACTAAGTGCTTAAGCCTATACACGTAAACAAATAAACATACAATAACGCTACAGTTGGAAATTTAATAAAGACAGTTTTCTGGACAAAATAACATTAACAAATTTAAGTTATCATCTCTACATTATTACCCCTATCAATTCCAATGAGGCTATGCTATTTATTTTGATGGAACCGAGTACTGTACTTTATTTTTATTCAGTGATAGCATTGAATACCAGTACTATGATATGGTCAATTATCCTAGTAATCCGAAGAAATACACTTTCTTTTCTTAGATATATAATATATGTTTCACCTATACATGTGTCAACGGCATTATTTATTGTGTTTTGAGTCTATTTTAGATAATCGCCTCCTTTACATAATATTATCTTCTCTTACCGATAACATATGCATCTATGTATATATATTTCCATAACCTATTATATATACTACCTTTAACCACGTTCTTATTATGCAGTGCAGTGTTTGTCGTACAAGTTACCAATCACAATGCCATTGAAATAACTTTAGGTTGATTTTTCGAAAGCTTTGCGATCGTCTTATACAAAAAGAATAAAAGAAAGCAATTACCATAATATATCCCACAGCTTAGTCATGGTTATGTATCTCTCAAAATTAGATGCCTGTTTGGTATAACAGAATATTTCTTCCCAGCTGCTAAAAGAGACAAAGAAAATTATGTACATTTTGACGCAGCAGTGAATTACAAAGTTGTACTGCTGGTGACACTCCGCATTATAGCAGACATGACAATGACATTAAATTAAATAACTAACACCTATACGTGTGGCAAGCTAGGCACATTCTCTAAATTCTCAACAAAGGTTTAGTTTGTAAGATTGTAAAGAGTGAATATTATTACCCTTGTAATTATATCAATCATTCTGCATATCAATACCACCATACAGAGGGGTAATACAGACATGTTCACCCTATCCCACTATTAAATGCCTTCCCACTGCCATCCCACATTATAAACTACTCATTAGCATACGGTTTTATTTATTTAAAAAACTTATGAGGAGGAGGATACAGGATTTTCATACCTGGCCGCGCATGCACACCCACACAAATATGATAAAGGGGGTACGCCTCATGTACCCTCTCACTAAGGCAAAATACCAGCGATTACTTACAAAACTAATACACAACTAAGTTGCTTAGTATTCTACAATTAACGTAAATATCCATGATATCTGGATTCCAATATAGTCTTACAAATGTTTACTATCATTTCTAATATATTCAAGCGAAACCAGAAGCCGCTTAGAACACCCCTTTTGCATTATTAAACAAGATACAAAGACTTTGAATATTATTGGTAAATACTGTGAAGGTATTTGAATATATACAAAAACGCTCGACTGGAGTACCACACATATTTTACTTTCAAAATGCAACTAGCAAAAATTGCTGTTTTACTAAGCTTACCGTCATTTAGGAATTTAATCGGCAATCATAATTATATGTCCATTACTTTTAAGTCTAACATCTAAAGTATCACCACTATTTTCCATATTTTGTTTTTTAAATCCCTGGTTTGAATTTCAACTCTCGCTTTCTTTCAGAACGATTTAGGCAAAGATACTCACATTGTAGCCTACTATGTTGCCTTTGATTTGAAACGTTGATCGAAGCATTCTGGCCACTTAGAGCTAAAAAGTAGCACTTTCCCCGATCCCTGTCAAATTTGCTTCTGTCTATCCTTTATTTGAATAGTCCCAATGGAAATTGAAAGCACCCATGACAGTAACTTTTGTTTACACAATTCATCCCAAACTTGGGCAAAGGTTATTTTGACATTCTTTAAAAACAATTATCAGCGCTGAATTATTGCATTTGGGGGAGCAAGCTATCAGATTATAGAAGAATATATCAACTACCATCCCATTGATCTACCATCTCATTGATTTATCATTCAGCAATTTTACTTGGTTCGTAAGATATTCAGGTTTGAATATGGAGTTCTTCTTTATTGATTGACACTGTATAGTGTACGTATTCGACTGGAGAGTATCAGATGAAATACTTTCTCATGTGGGCTCTCTAAATATACAGGAATATAAATAATTATACTTACCACATCAGGTGGGGGGGGGGGTTAAATAACACTTTGTTCTGAGTGGATATCCCAAAAATGGATTCCATCTCTCTAACAGAATAATGCAAGTTATTCAACCACTACTTATGGGATTAAATTCCTCTATATTTTGGAATGAAATCGATTCAAAATAAAAGAATGCCCAACTCCGATACTTAAAAGTGGTTTGCCAATTCTCTGCCTTAAAAGATTTGAGTTAGCATGCTGATCTCATTTTCCGTGACGCCATTTGCAGAAGCCATGAACACCGACGACCAGGGAGGCGAAGGCGAATACGGCTTCGATGAAATTCAGAATGGCGATGACGCTATCCATAACCTGTCTCGAGGACTGATGGGGTGTGGGTAGGAGAACAGAGGAGGGGGGGTCAAGAAATTAATTAAGAAATCGATATGTTAATGAAAGCTAATATACAAAGGAAGGCCAAAATGTTACTGGCATTAGTATCAAAACAATATTAACCTCAAATACCCTAAATTATACGGAGCCCGGATTTTTGTTTTTTTATATGGAGTCTTTACCACGTAATTCGTTTCCACCACTTAGTACTATGTGGTGGGAACGAATTATACTCGTTGGGATTGGTTGGGTAGTGAGCGCTAATTTTTTTAATTTTTTTTGCCCCGGAAATGTGAACGTCGCGCCGGGGGGCCGGATCCGTCGGGCCCCCTCCCGTGGGTCCGCTCCTGGGATAAATCACTGTGACTGCCCCCGTTTTTTTTCCAGGCTTTGTATTAGTTATAGAGTCATTTGCATATCTTGACCTTTGCCTCTTCAGTAATGGCAAAAAACATGTATCTATATAAGCTTACGAAGTTCATTGTATTGTATATGCCTCTTTTATTCTTGACATAACTTTGCAGGGGCGACATTTTATAGAGCTGGTATTTTATACAACACTTTCACTAAAATAATGATAATAATAACTTGGTCTTCTTGATTTAGGGGAGCCCATCAGTTTTGATTCTTCTATTCTGTGAACTTCATAACCTGTAATTATTGTTACAAGGGCGTGTAGTGTAGCCCTACACCTGGATCGGGATAGAGAAATGTGGGCAAAGCGCCTTGTCCAGAGGTGTACGCATCGAGCAAGGATCGAATCCGGATGCTCTTGTAGGAGGGTAACGTGCCTTCACAAATATACCACTTATTATGTCAATATTTTCGCGCGTTTTTCATGAGCAATCTCACAAATAATGACTTACAAATAGAAGGGGGTTTGTATTCATAACAAGTGTGGTCACATTTCCTTCTTTTTTGTGGGGAGGGGGGGGGGGGTTAAATACCTGTGACCCTCCTTCAAATACGCCACTGTATATAGTGATCCCTGAGGCGTACCAAACTTTCTCGCCATTGTACTATTAAAATATACTTAACACAAATTTGTGTTTAGTGATCGCCATGTGCCCTACGGTCCCGAAATTTTGGAGAGTGGAGAGGGTGGTTTTATCATTATTATTTAATCAAAAGTGAAACCTAGAAGGTTTAAATGTGATTACCTACCCCTTCGGGAGAGTTCCCACAGTGAAGATAGGCGCAGATGAAATGTGACCGAAATCCTGCGAGGGCGTGAATAGCTCCGAGAACAGTCGAGGAAATAAATGAACAACTGCTGAGCAAGATGAATGCTGCCACCTAATGATAGATAGAGAGACAGCTTGAATTCCATTGACATAAAACCATCTTTCTTCGGATAAGTTTCATACATGGGTGTCGATCCCGGGGGGATGGGGGATATATCCCCCCCCCCCCCCCCATACTTCAGGTGGGGGGATGGCCTGTATAATCATCCCCCCCCCCCCCCAATAATTCATCATCAAAAAAAAATCAAGAGAAAAATTAATGATGAGAGCGCGATGAGAGTAGTTAATGGTTATTACTCGCAACATCACCATCAATATACACATTTTGCTATCTCATTTTCATAATACATATATATATATATATATACGAAGTAAATGAGACAACAGTATATGAGACAAGAATAAATTGATTTCTCGCTCATACGACTTCATGAGGAATTGATGGATTTATTCAATTTGTTCAATCAACAGCATCATAGAAATGCAGTGCGCCAAATGCAAAGACGCAGCGTTAAAAAGCAACTAGCTAAGTGTTAAGCGCAAGGCGCAAAAGTAGCAATCTGCAATGCACACCAGACAATCCTGGACAGTGTAAACATAGATGAACTCTGTGACGAATTCGTAATGAGATCGGAGACAAGGAAAAAGCTTCCGCGCTTTGCACGGGAGTGGGGAAACTGAACTCAGACAAGGATTTAGAGTCGAGAACGGTACAAACAATCGTCTTCTTTCTCTAATAATTCAAAGAAACGTCAAAGCTTCCGCGCTTCGCACGGGGGGGGGGACTGAATTCAGACAAGGATTAAGAGTCGAGAATGGTACATCGAATCGTCTTCTTTCTTTAATAATCTGATGAAACGTCAAAGCTTGCGCGGGAGTGGGGAACTGAATTCAGACAAGGATTAAGAGTCGAGAATGGTACATCGAATTGTCTTCTTTCTTTAATAATCTAATGAAACGTCAGAGCTTCCGCGCTACGCGCGGAGGAAGGGGAAGTTGATTCAAACATTAAGGATTAAGAGTCAAGAATGGTACATCGAATCGTCTTCTTTCTTTAATAATCTAATTAAACGTTAGAGCTTCCGCGCTGCGCGCGGAGGAAGGGGAACTTGATTCAAACATTAAAGATAAACTTGAGTTCTGGTAAAAAAAGAAAATGAATTCTCACAGAACCTAACGAAACTTAAACTGAATGTTCAAGATTACAAATAAATGTCATGTGCCAAACAACTTTGGAAGAAAATGTAGACTGGCTGAGTAATGAGCATAGAAAGACAAGGAAATCAGGGTAGTACTAGTCCCGACACCATGTGTGTTGTCCTATATACATATTTCTGTGTAAGTGATTGTTACTTTACCAAGACTCTGCCAAATTTATGATGATTTTGATGACTCCAGAACCTTGCATTACACACTATTACTTACATGCTATATGATCAACTTTTCTGATCCATTCAACACCTTTTCTTTCACAATGCAATCGAAATACCAGAACTCAAGTTTATCTTTAAGGATTAAGAGTCGAGAATGTAACATCGAATGGTCTTCATTTTTAATAATCTAATGAAACGTCAGAGCTTCCGAGCTACGCGCGGAGGAAGGGAAACTTGATTCAAACAAGGATTACGAGTCGAGAACGGTCCAACAAATCGTCTTCTTTCTCTAATAATTTAATGAAACGTCAAAGCTTCTGCGCTTCGCGGGGGAAGGTGGAAACTTCCACTCCTGGACCCAACCCCCTAGGAAGCGCGCTTCGCGTGCTCACTACCGCCCCCCCCCCCCCTAAAATGAGATCCTAGCTACGCGCTTGGGGAGGGGGTGCAACCGGCCACACGCTTCTACCTCTTGGTTGCTTTGATCCATTGCCGAAAATATTTTGGCACCTATCATCCCCCAACCACGGATACAAATCGACACCCTTGGTTTCATACAATGCAGTATTTATCAATAAAGTGGAATGCAACTTCATACTTTTTCTCTTGATTTATTTCACATTTCACCCCAGTTAAGGTTAACTGATATAATGAAGAACAACTTAATATTTTGCGAATCTAAATTGCGTATTCTGCACTTCTGACTTGGGAGACCATTTTTGTTGACTCTTTTTTTGTTACACAAGAGACCCGAGATCGGACACACAGTTGCCTGATTTGATCTTGACCAATAATTTGTGAGGAAAGCTTGTGTTGGTATGTTACGAAAACTTGTCCTGTATATCCAACTTATGAACTCGCCCTACCATATGTTAAAACAAATTGATTTAAAAGTTCTGCTGATTTCAAAGAAATATAACTGATTTCATTTTTGTTTCTGACATGGGTGTTTTGATCTCATTTAATTCATTTCCTTTTTTAAGCGAACGAATATTTTTTAACCAAGACTAATCCTCGAGGCCATGAAAAGAATACAACGCTAGACCCGTTGACACTAGTATCTGTCGTCAGATATTGAATGGTTTAAGATGGGAAAGGACACTTTGGTTGTTATCATGAACACTCACATGACTTACACCTGTCATGTTAAGATAAACACACATGCAGAAGTGAAAGGTTGAATTGGATGGGAGGTAGAGAGTTGGTTAAAACAATGGGCACAAATCACTAAACAAATGTAAAGAGAACAGACGACCCATCATTTAAAGAAAAAAATTATAGGCGTTTCAATATACTTAAAGGGATAGTGAGTTTTGTTGCAGGGGGCGCTACACAAAAAGATTTTTTTTGGTTTTTTTTTTGTGTTTGGGGGGGGGGGGGGTGAAATAACTGAGTGTCAAATTTAAAGAACATACAATTTAAATGACATTTTAAAATATTAACTTGTACCGGTTTTCCAGTGCTCTAGCGCGCATTTTTCACCCCTATCAAAATTACTCATTTGAGTGCCGATTCTTTTTGGAGTGTCGAAAGGAATTGAATAGTTGAGATCATTACCTTCACTGTGACATTCTACTTTTTCTTTTTCTCCACATCCTCCTCCTCCGCCTTCTCCTCCCTTTTCTTCTATTTCTTCGCAAAAAGAGATTTGGAGGTGATGAAAAATAGTTCACCAAAAGCAACTATCATCATACAAGACCAGTTAGCATACATTATCATATTTTTCTTCCTCCTGTCCGGCCATTTTACTTCTCTTCCTTTCTTTTTTTCTTCTTCTTCTTCTTTTTCTTCTTCTTCAATCTTCTTTACTTTCTTCTGCTTTTTTTGCTTTTTCTGCTTTTCTTCTTCTTCTTTTTTCTTTCTTTCTTCTTCTTCTCCATTGTCTTCTTCTTCGTTTATCCTTCCTTCTTCTCCTCTAGATTATATACATTTACATACACGAAGGAAATGTGCAAGAAAAGCACGAAGCTTGTGATGGGATCTCCACAACGATGAGTGATATATTTTATTTTTTTTCTTCAATTGTTTTTTTTTTATTGATTCCAAACAATACAAATCAATCTAAGAAATAAAATACAGTTGTTTTTCCTTGACATGAATTCAAAACATTTATTTACATAGATTGTACAATTGATGTGCATTGTGCGACATCAAAGCATAATTTATACAACGTCTCACGACGTGACAGATCAATTTTCTCTAACTTCTAACTAATCAAATGGCCTTTTTTTTTTTCTTCCATGAAGTGCCGGTGGACATTAATGCGCCAAATGTGGTTCTCAAATTGCAAAAGATCCCTACTCTTTGAAGGGGTAGGAGAAAGCAATTTTACGTCATATTACTCCAGGAAGTGCCTGAAAATGCGCCTAATTTGGTTCTAAAATTGCAAATGCTTCTTACTCTGGTTGCAAATGCTTCTTACCCCCTGCTTGGTCGCCCCGCTCCCTCGCCGTTAAAGCCTCGTTCTGTTGCTTCATCGTTTTACATATATTTCACCCCATGCCATTTTGTGCCCCCCCCCCTCTAAGAAATTCCTGGATCCGCCACTGATGCCCATACCCCTTGAGCTTCGGGGGCTTCGCCCCTTGAACCCCACCGGGGCTTTGCCCCTAGACCCCACTTTGAGAAACGTAATTCAGCGGGCCTGCATGTTAGGGTGGGGTGATTCGGATTTTTTTTTTGTCAGCCCCCCCCCCCCCCCCCCCCCCAAAAAAAAAATGTTTTTGCTCATTACGCCACTGAGACATATGATAAGGTCACATAGTCGTAACCTCTATGTACATTCGTGTTTCTCTTTTCCCATGCTTTGATAATCGGCATGAAGAAATTGATTCAAGCTAGAGGTAACATAGAGCTTCCCATTCTAATTGTCCAGCTATGAAAAACAGATAATTTTTCTTAGCACTGACCATAATTTATTCAACTGCTATATTCTTCCTATGAATTTGCTTAAGTCATATCATAAAACACTTATTTTTCAACATCCATTACCCACTTCCGTTATCCCAACATCAACATTCTTTGATCTAAGGTGTACCTATTATTGTTTGTTATGAATGTACTATTTTAAAGACTTTGTAATACTACTGTATTTTGTGCAGTATCCTTGTGTTAATACTTATGTAAATTGCACTCAATTTAGCCGAAAGGCTGCCACGTACCAATGTTTTTTATACCACAATAAATAAATAAATATGTCTTCGTAAGATGTTTGGATTGGCACAGATTTAACAATACATTCCAATGTATTATACCACATTGAAAATTTACCTACACTGTGTGTATTATGTTCATGAGTAGTTAACAGGCGCATAAAGTATGTTGTTGTATGATGATATGTTAGTTTAGTGCAGCATTGCATTATTTTATCATGTAAATACTTTTTGTAAAAATATTGTACAATCCTATTCGGTCTTCGGGCTGAGAAGCGTGTTTCAGTCATTATAATATATCTTGTTTGCCTAGAGAATGCTAAGAAGAAAAAAATGATGGTTATTTTTCTTATCTCTTAGTATGAAAAATGTGTCTCCCTATTTTGGGTAAAATGATATCATAGTAAATCTTAGTACTCACCATACGTTTGGCACGGCATTTGGTAAATATCCCGAGCACCCCACCAGTAATATACAGCTGTAAAACAACAAAAACAAAAACAACAGAGATTACCAGCGAGTAAATCTCATTCACCATGTAGTCATTTACAGCTATATTCAAACACTTCTATAATGCAGAAGATTGATCGATCGATTGTTTCCTATCAAACAATATTCACTTAAGTATGTTTCGTCTATCAAAAAAGAAATCATTTTGGAAGTAGGACCTACTGTGCCTTTATACATACTCACAAAATATATCACTGTCATGTATTGTTTTGAAGGGGTTAAGTATCACTACATTAAGTCTTAAGTAACTTACTTACCACAAATCCACATCCGATGTCCATTGCTGGTATCAAAGGCCCCACGGTTGCCTTGGCAACGTAAGCGAAAATACCAATAAGTATGATGACCACGCCCATGATAATTTGCATCAAGGAAAGTATCCTGGTGATGCCTGAGTTGTACTCCGGCAAGTAGTGACTCTCATCCTCCTCCTCTTGCCTCAGCCTGACGTTGTTAAAAAAACATCTATTTCGGAAGTTGCGCCCTGCTCCTCCCCTTCTGCTTTCACCCCCTCTAGCTCCTCTTCCTACATCCCAGGACCTCGCCGCGTTCATGGAGTTGGTATGCATGAAGTCTGGATTGGTCGCTTCGAACTCGTGGCTCTTCGAAGGTGGCGAGGACGACATGGACAGCGGATCGAATAGGACGTCATTGGTGTCCCACGCTCCACTACTTTGCTCTGTATGACCTTTGGCCATGCCGTAGCTGTGGGCGTAATGATACATGTTTTAGATTAAGACAGGACTAAAACAGCGATACAATGTTTCACAAAATGCAGTCAGTCAGCAAGAATTGATGTGTGATCACCAAAACAAGATGAGTTGAGCAAGTAGACAAAAAACACGCGTTCTTCATTGTATGACAATTTGCACATGCATGACCTATTCCTGTGACCAATCCATTCCTTTGAAAACAGTCACTCTAAATTAAGCGTTCACAGCTCATTTTGCAGGAACATCAATGCCACAAGAAAAGAGTTGATTATAAAAGCTGGTTAAATGTTGATTCGACAAACGGCGTAAATGATCACATAATTATTTTGTCGACCGTCCCTTGTAATGCCATCCATGACTAGAAAAAAAAACGAAGAAAAAAAGTAAGCTGGTCTTCACAGGCCTTACTGATACAAGTATTAACGAAAAATGAAATTACAAGTGAATGAAACGAAATGTGTATTCTACATAATGCCAGTTAATGCAGTGATCAATTATTCTGATTGATTAACACGCGTTAATTATTACATAACTGGCCTATGCGCAACCTGTTTCTACAGGCTTTCGTTATATTTGCGCACACACGACGATCGATAGTCTTAGTCGTGGGTATAGTGTTATTGTTAATTCTAATTTCTTTATTTCAAAGAAAAGCATTGCACTACACTAATCTGCCCATGCACACTAACACGAATCACAACAAGGCCCATGAACATATGCAAGGACGAGGCAGGTTTGCACAATGTTACTATAATATACAGTGAATACACTTAATGACATTGAAATAATTATAGTGACTTTAAGAGAAAACATACTGCCACCTACAACTGCAAACAGGTACGATTCATTTACGATAGAATGATTTCTGCTCCTTATCAAATGTAATACTAACAATTCAATTCACTCCAATTCAAATAATGTTACTTCCAAAACTAAATGAAAAAAATGAAAAAAATGAAAAATGCATAGGCCGACATAAAATTAATATCAAATGACATCAAATTAGCTATGACACTTATTTCATAAAATGGTAAATGTTGATAAGTTTTTTTAAAAAACGCATTTTAAGATATAACATATATAAGCACAATATTTTAATGAATTAATCAGAATTTTACAAGAAAATTGAGAATCACTAAAAAGTAGCTTGTGTTGGTGCGGATTACTCAAGAAAGAAAAAAGACAATCATAATTATATGATCCTGCATAAATCAATCAGACATCATTGTCCTGATCTATGGAATGCACTCCGAGACTCAACAAAATCATTTAAAACCTTAAATTCATTTAAATTCAATACGAAGCATTTCTGTCAGAGTACATTGTTTGATCTTTGCCCATGCAGTGCTGATTAAATATTCAATATTATTTCCAGATTTCTATTAAAATCCATCACTTTCTTATATAACTACTGTATACTCCAAGTTTTCTGTGTCAGACATATTAACGTCAACATACTTTCATTTTCATTCTAATCTCATTATCATCAACAGTTCAATTTGTAATAATTTTATTAATCATCCATCCCGCCCCAGGCTATCAAGCTATCAAGCAAACTCTTTTCACACTTGTTTTGCTTTACCCCGTACTTTGCTTAGCCTCGTACTATCCTTAACCCCGGACTAACTGTTTTTGGATTTGATGAAGGTTTAAACGAATTTAATAAGAACGATTTAAACTCTATCTCCCCTACCCATTTTAAAGGTAATACTTTCCGGACAGCCTTAGCGTGCCCATTATAAAGTATAGCTCGAGTGTGGGCATGTCGCGAGACCACATTATGATTCGATACCACAAGACAGTATGCTCGGTCATAGCTCGTTACAAAATCTCTGTTTAATCCTTTGGATGAATAAAGTCAATCACTTTTGTCCACCCCCAAAAAAATCAAATCGACAGATTGAAGAATTATAACAATACTCCTGACAAAACTCATGGAATGTAGACTAAGCAATCGATTCTCGACAGTGATTTGCCGGTTGCCATGGGTACGGATAAGGGTCATTGCTATGGGTGAGATTCTGGGCATGGTTTGGGGTTTGGGGGCAGGGCTTTTTTCTTTTCCCCGGAACAAGGTCAAGCCTCAAAATACCTTCACCAGGAATGGGACGCATTGTTTTACGGCTTGTTTACGCTGGAGAACTTCGACCAAAAAGTAGTTTGCAGACACAAACCCTTGGCATTCGTCGTGTGGAACAGTCTGTACTGTGAGACTAAGATGACGGTATACTGCATAGGCTTTGTGTTATCAAGGTCTAGAAATAGGTTTCGGAATTCTGTTACAAGTCATTTGTTGAAAAAGTCATGAATGAAATATCAAGTGTACATAATTCATAATTCATATTTTACATTATTAGTTTGTATATTGTAAGACATTGTTGAGTACTGATTCTTGTGTTTTTTCAAGTATCGATTGTAAAAGTAAATTCATTATTTGGTTTCATTATTTGGTTTTTTTACGTTCTCTAAACTGATTTGTACCAAAATACTTTGTTTAGCTGTTTAAGGGGTTAGGCTCGACTAGCACATGTGCTATTATCTGGCCCCTTTTACCAACCAATAGTTTCTCTTCCTATTATTATTGTATGAAAATGTGTTGCTGTTGGTAAATAAATCAAAATCCAATCATATCATATCGGTGCCTATTTGCATGGACCTACTGCTATTTGACACAGCCAGAGACTGACAGAGCTAGGGTCTCCTTAAAAGCTCTAGGAATTGTGGTAAAGTATCAAATTAGAGTCTGTGCATGTAGACTAACCAAAAAGTAGAAGAAAATGTTGGCGACTGTCTCACAAATTGAAATCCGCCTAGTACAGGGAATCACTTTCTTTGAAGATGAATCCATGCTAAAAAAAAAAAAGGTGGTATCTATACGCTTTAAGGAGTAATTCAACCACGAATTTGGAGTGAATTCCAATAGAAATCGGAGTGGATTCTTACCACAGCCCATTTACATTTATGTAGAGTTTGAAGTGCACGAGTAGAAATTTATTTTTTTAAGGAAAGTCAGGCAGTGCAGTATAACCCGTCCCTCAAACTATTGAAATGCAACAAGTTCGTTGGAGTTGATTCCTACAACAACCCAATATCCATTATATTTGCGATCATTGGGAAGTAAATCACCTTCAAAACTCAGAATATAATAATTTGGGCTACTTTTTTCAGACAAAGATTTGTAACACACCGTTGGTCAAATTAAATAGCTTTGTCGTTGCTTACACTTTTATTAAAAGACTGATGGCAAAATCAAATCGACAACTACTTTGGGTTAACAAAAATAAATTAGAATATTGCGTGACATCTTCATCGACTCGGTATCATCTCCACACACAGTACAAGATATTGAACATATCCCAAGAATACATTTTTAGTGATTCTTCAGTTGAAAATACACTCCAACTTTGGAAACTTTACAAAACGAAGCAAGCTAAGAAAAGTAAACCGGTTACAATTTTAGATTTGTTTTCCTTTTCGGTTCCTCCACCGAGTAAGAAGCCTATAACAGAGCAAAACAACGTGAGGGATGGGCTTGATAACATTAAAAGTAAATTTTAAAATAATTACAAAAATAAATAATAACAAATGCGATTGTTGTTGTTGTTGGTATTCGAGCCATACCAACAGAGGCAACATGCCTGTCTGTAATTATTGTCTACATTTTAAGTATGAGGAGGAGGCGGTCCTTATTTATTTGATAATTTTCTTTTTCTGTACATAGAAATGCTATTGGGTAAATTACAACGCAATTTTGTGAATCAAATTTTTATTCGTACATATTTCAAGCTTAGTTTATTTCCACAATCTGATAAAACAATCAAAAGACAAACAAGAATACACCATAAATATAACATAACAGATAATGTCTATGATCAATCCCTTGAGTATAAATGAAATTCAAATTTAACAAAAACATAAACTAAGTAACTAACACTACATCAACAGCAACTACAATAACAAAACAAAACGGATGGTAAAAAGGAATGGGGGAGGAAGGGAGAAGGCAACTTAACACAAATTTAAAAGATGATTTGTATATGTTCGTTTAAAAACTGGAAAACTTTTGGTACATTTTAAGGTATTCGAGAGAGTATTCCACATGATCCGCCCAGAGTATTTGATAGTACATCTAGAGACATTATATTGATAATTAGGAACATCCAATTTATTGTTTTGTCTTGTATTGTACACATATTTGTTATGAACTCCACAACGAGGTGGAAATGCATTAATGACATTATAGGTTGATCCCATAGCCTAGATATCTTATATATCGATATATATTGTCATTTCAGAACACGATCGCAACTATTATCGAAAAATCAACTCAAGGACATTTTCCATACCCTATCGTGTGTCACGTCCCATAGAAATCATGTTCTGATCTTATATTACGTCATTGTCGTGTCACGTTCACACATTCATAAGGTGACGCACAAGGCTATTGACATTGCTCTAGGTTGATTATTCGAGAATATTATCAATAGTCTGAAATTAAAATTACCATAAACATATTTTTTTATTAATTAATATGGGCCGAAAACAGGAAGGATATATCCGGACAGGAGGGGCGACTAGAAATTGCTTTTTATTTGATTTGGTTTTTAGTTATAACAAATTATGACCTTTATTTTTTACTTTGTTTAACTTTACAACTGAACAGACTAAGCTTGTCAACGCGGCCCATGCATCGTATTTAATTATAGGCATAAACTAGTAATTTTAATGGACGGTCTTCCAGTCACGTAAGAAAGCAGTCCACTACAGTGATACATACCAGATATATACGGTGAACTTTGACCTACTCGAGCAATACCGTGTGTGACAGCGACAATCCCCTTCGAATCAAGGAAAAGGATGGGGAAGAAAAAAAGTAGAACGTCCTGTCGAGTTTGTCCGAACGAGAGCTGTACACAGTGGTGAGATGTGCGAACCACGTAACTTCCCCCTTCCCACTGTTTCGAAATTTGTTTTGAAGTAAGAAAATATTGCGCACGTTTAATTCCTCAAGTTTTTCCTTGCAATGAAACCACTCCACAATGATCGGAACAGTGAAGACTTAATACTGAAATGAATTCTTGTGAATGTTGCACAGCATAGAGCAGGAGAGAGGTTACTTCCAACTTGGTGAAGAGAAAGAAAATCCCAAGCCATCAACATTTCCAACTATATACATTTCATCTCGTTATAGATGGCCTCGTCCAAAGCGTTTGCATTTTTGTTTCTTTTCTTATTTCCTTTTGTATCGGCTTTTATTGGGGTTGCCTATATCCATTCGTACCGGTATTAATTATCTCTTCATCACTTGAGAACACGGTCGGAAAGACTTCCGAAAAATCAACTCTAGGAAAATGTCAAAACCCTAGCATTGAATTGTGTTCGTTTTAGAGGGGAAGTCCACCTTAATAATTAGCTGGTATAAGCAAAAGACAAAACAAAAACAACAAGAGGAACAAATTTTTGACAGGTTTTTCAACAGCCGATTGAAAACAGGAAAGTTATGAAATCCTGAAGTTGTCATCAGAGAAAAACAAATTGGCAACACTGACATATCTTGCAAGATTTGCTCTGTACAGAAATTCTATTAACTTTCATTTTCTTAGTTAATATAATGACAGCTTATAACAGCTTATAGCTGACAAGGGCAATCCATCCCATGAGTGGAGAACAAATAAATAAATAAATAAAAACGGAAACGATTTGTTCTATACACGGGTTGTATAGCAACATATTTGCAGTAATCATAATTAGGATGCATTTATGTTTTGAAATTTTGTTTAGGGAAAATGTAGAATCCTGACTTTTTTTGTGTGTATAATACAGAGCAAATGTGAAGGAACCCCGCAAGATGCATCACTGAATTCGAAACCAAACCCGGTGCTCCAATGCATTTTAGTAAGGCAATAATCCTCATACCAAGTCCTTCGGAGAGGACTTCAAGCAGTCGGTCTCATGTTTATTTTTTACTTAAAAGCATACATATGCTTTCGTAGCAGCAAGTTGTGAGAGATGATATATCTGAAGGCAGCAAATTATTTCCTCCACTAAATCGTCTGGGATAACAAAGCCGGGGTTACAATGATTACAGGTCCTTCAGAGAAAAAATAATAATTCTGACATGCTGATTAGGGTACCCTGGGTACAAATAACATTATCATTATTATTGGTATTGCCATATTTAAAAAATAAATCAGCCTTTGTCATATCGGGGATATGGTACCGAACTCGCTTCCAGAATTTAGAGACCTGTCAATATATGAAAGAACAGTGAGCCTGTGAGAATGGGTTCTGCTGAAGAAATTAAAAACAATAGTGTGTGAGCTTTCTCATCTTTGTTGTTACTATGGGCAACTGGGCAATGTCATAATAGAAATTTGCCCTGGAATGTATAGCTCTTTCATTGCCATCATTTACGAAATACTATAAGAAAAATGTTGTATGCAACGCATGGCATGAGATTAGACAATACATCATGTTCATTGTTCAATATATAGATATCTTGATATGTATATGTTCCGTTTACTTTGTTAACGAAACATCTACCAATGTTGTACCATATATTTTTGTCACAGTGCAACTTATTAGAAAATACCAAAATATGATGTGGTCTGAATCGGAAACCACGGAGCTACAGATATGATAACCTTTCTCCTTGTAACCCGAGTGATATCGGGAAGCGACGTATGAAGATTTACGAGCTTATAAAATTGCAAGAGAGTACTGAATCCTCGGTAAAAATCATGCATTATATATGCGACGTTCTTTTAACGTTGGATCGAAACTTGAAGAAGTTGAACTACTTTGGTTAATTGTCATTGACCATCTTACTGTGATGTTTTTCACGCTTTTGTCATGAAATAAATTACCATTGTTTTCGAAAGATCAAACAAATACATTTATTTCCTTCTTATATTATCAAATGAATACAAAACGTAATTTTAATTCACAAAAGTAATGTACGAAAAGAAGGTTGCGATATTCCTAGAAAGCACGAGGCTTGTGATGGGGTCGACTATGTATTCACATATATATATATAGAGAGAGAGAGAGAGAGAGAGAGAGAGAGAAGAAAATTAAAAAGTAAAGCAAACAAATTAGCGATGTCCCAACAACGTATCTGCTTTTGATTGACTAGTCAATTCAAGCATACTGAGATCAAACAAATACAATTATTTCCTTCTTATATTATCAAATGAATACAAAACGTAATTTTAATTCACAAAAGTAATGTACGAAAAGAAGGTTGCGATATTCCTAGAAAGCACGAGGCTTGTGATGGGGTCGACTATGTATTCACACACATATATATATATATATAGAGAGAGAGAGAGAGAGAGAGAGAAGAAAATTAAAAAGTAAAGCAAACAAATTAGCGATGTCCCAATAACGTATCTGCTTTTGATTGACTAGTCAATTCAAGCATTCTGAAATCAACTTCAAAGCTTAGTTATTAAGTTGTTAAGGTCATTTATTTATTTAATGTTCATAGCAAAGGGAACAAATGATGGAAACAGATCACCTAATGTGTCATTGATCATATTATGAAAAAGGGTTATTCTTGGAACTGTACCTCATCAAAGTTGGTCAAAAACCTTCATATTCAAAAGTATTATCTCCACATTCTAATCTGCACCGAAACCGGAAAAGGTGATCAGACATCTTTCCTAACTATTCGAATATTTTTTTAGAGTTCATAGCAAAAGAAAAAGCCAAAAAGAACGATTTACACGGATGGTTTATATGCGACATTTATCATATCAAGACGGTAAAGTAGTATCCTAGCATAATCGGTCACATTCCATATTCCCTATTATCGACCATTATCGACCAGGGTAGAAGAACCAGTGGTAAACTTACTGATGTAAGGCCCTGGAAAATAGGCCTCCCTCAAAATTTTGTATACATAATATCCTGTTAGTATTGTCATATATTTCACACACCAGTTTCTTAAAAAGTTTACACATTCTCAAACCCAACCCCTGTTTTCCAAGAAGTGGTGACTCATATTGTGCCCTCTCCCCAAAACGAAACCAAATCGAAGACGTTGGTCATGTCAGTGGTTTCTGCCTGATAGCATCAGTTCTATACCTGATGCTTCACAGTAAACACTTATTCTGACCAGCCTCTTCATTTCTTTTCAGGTAAGAAATTACAACTTTTAATCTCTTTCAATTCTGTCTGTTTAAGTTAATTATTATTGTTCAATTCATATATTACATTGTTGTGCTGCAACTCGTGTTTAATGATGAAGTGAATGTTATTAGTGATATTAGAACCAATTAAGTGTATTTTATCAAACCAGACTGATCATGAGAGATGCAGGCTTAACATATGTATCTACGTGACATGTATCTATTGTATGGTGTTAGTTATGTTTATGAAGCATTTAGATTATATAATGGTCGTATTATTATGTAGTAGAAGTAGTAAATCTTTATATATTCATACTAAGTCAGGTTAAACCAACTAGTGTGAACACACCTCATAATGTGTGTATGCTTAATGTGAGATGTTTAGTGACGAGTTCATACCCCACTATACAAGAGTAGTAGTAAAGTTAATCCTGATACCAATTTTAATAGTCTGTGCATTGGGAGAAGTTTCTCTGGTCTTTATCAGAGATAACTGTGACATGCTATGACTAATGACTTGTGGTCAGCAGTAGTCCACCAACTGGACAAATGAGGGAATATCGTAGAAAAGAGAGAATGTGGGTTCATAGTTCAAGATTCAGGTCTTTGATAAATGAGTTATGCATTTGTAGTTTCTCTCCCTTTCTCTTTCGCTTTCTCTCATGTCTCTCTTTAACTGTTAATATCATATTTGAAGATTGAGTGTGATTTTGTTAGAATATATTCCTTGCATCTTTTATTTTACTTTTGTCCCTGCATATAGAGAAGAGTTTTGTTAGAATTGAGAAAGTAATTTTGTAGTATTTTAGAAAAGGATTTAGGGTTACTGCGACTATAGACAGGTCGGGATATTGGAGAAAGTTGGGTTATTGTGTAAAAAGACACAAAACGACTTCTAACGGGTTCACCTTGGTCTATAATTACAGTTAGCCGTGTTCAGATTAAAAGATAAGCAGTCAGATGCCAATGACAATGTTGTTTATGAATTTAGAGTTAGCTGTGTTCATATTCATATTTAATCCGTATTACTTGTATTTAGTTTCATTAGTGGAATATGTTATTCCATGTTTATTGTTTATGTTATTAAAGCAGTTCTATACCTGATGCTTCACAGGAAACACTTATTCTGACCAGCCTCTTCATTTCTTTTCAGAATTTATATTATTTACCCCCGGCCCGGGGTAACACTGATAATCTATAATTGATGTTGGCAACTGTCCACCAATAGGTATATTCTAATCTCCACAGCATTAATTCCATCACACATATCTTTTGAAGTAAATTCAAGATAAACATTTAAGTGATACAGGCTGGTACACGAATATATAATAAACATGCACGTTGTTTCTTGGTTAGTAATCATATAATCAATATATCTATCGCTAAAACGTTAATGTAATTGTAACAAGATCGGACAAATAATTTATTGATCAATAATTGCCAAAGGAAAATACAAATCACTAAATTGATGTGCATTGTCATAATTTGCTTAACAAATCATTATAAATGTATTTTTCTGTGAACACGTGTAAAGTAATCATTAAGCGCGCGTACACTTTGTGAAAACTTATTCGACCAATCAACCGCCTTAAACGAAATCACGTGATGATACTTTCAACACCGAGCATAAAACTACACCATATTACTTAACACCCAGTAATTATTAATGCATGCTTACATCTGACCGATGTTAAAATAACACCAATGGTGTCAAAAAAAATTCAACACCATACTGGTGTAAGAATTTCTACACCCTGGTTTTTACAGTGTACACTTCTCGAGGTATACAGTTAAAACAATATCGTATATTTTAAGGTCAATTTTACATTAACATCAGAATGGCTAGTTCTTTAAGATTGAATAGAGGTGTTTTGGCGATTTTTGAAGGATTCCAAGATAAGATCTGCTCGTACAAAGCATTGAATTTGCATGATACATGTTTCATCTATAGTGCCTCCGGCGATCTTAGTCAACAGTTGGTTACTTTATTAAGGATAATGAGATAAATCATTATTCAACGATGAAAGGAAACCAGCATAGCTTGAAGAAAAATATTGATGGCATTTGTCCAGAAAGACGAGTCAAACGCCACATGGTTTACATAGCAAAACAAACATATAAGACGGTATTATCAGTTCACTTCAAGTATCCGCTATATACGTTCATCGCAATGAGATATGGCCATCATCTTGCAGCGCAGTTTCATTAATGATTCCAGGCAAATAGGTTTGGAGAACGAGAAACGGCCGAGCGGCTTTAATATATAAACAGCATTTTTCCAATCTCTTTCTTTAGTTTTTATTTTAATCGAAATGGATCTTCTAAAGGGGAGAAGAAAGTGTCAGATATTCTAATACATTCAAATTCCAGTGTTTCATTGTTACAAATTTCTTTGTATTTAGATGACTGTATTTCCTGCGCTCACACCGTCTGTACAAAATACCTACGAACGAATTGAAAATAAAACAGTTCTTACATAACGAATAAAATCACATAGTAAAAAAATACAATAGATTATTCAAAACCAACTTCTTCCGACACATTCATTAGTTCTGTCTAAACTTAAAGTTCTTCTATGAAATTTGGCTTCGGATAGCCGAAGATTTCAAAATCTTTTTCGTAAATCTTCCACAATTTTTTTAAATTGTCCTTGGGCAAGTTTCGAAAAGCTTTTTCAAATTCGGCAGTGCTGTTCGTTGGGTGACTATTGCTTTTGGACGGAAATTTAACCAAAGAGTCTAACTGCAAATCTGTGAGCATATACGTTGCGTCTTCTGAAACAGTTTCTAAATTGCCAACGTAATCGTATTTAATCTTACATGGCAAACACGTTTTAAACATTTCTTCCCAATGGTCGTCAAAGAACGGTCGCTTGGGCTGTGTCAAAAACTGTACAAATTCTGTCCAAGTTATGTTTTCACCCGTTTTCAGCTCTTTCATCGTTGCATGCGATCGGAATTGCTTCATGATAGTTTTCGCAAAACCCTGAAAGTATTTTTCTTTTCGATACTGAACAACATCCCCGTATTTATTATTGAAGGCCGACAGCACGCGCACAAACGGATTGCGCACGTAAACGAATTTCTTGAATGTTTGTAACTTGTGCTGTTGCTCTCTGCGCGTGAATCCGGCGAGTCGCTTCATGCCGTTGCTGAAGTGGACTTCGTCCGAACTCATCCCGCTGAATGTTTTCGTGCTCCCGTTCAAGATCATCATCACCCTCTTCCAGTTGCTGCATCCAACCTTCGGGATGAAACAATAGAGAAGCTTGTGCTTATCATTGACGTATATATGGCGATAGGTGTTGTCGGTAATACCACCTTGATTCAGTTCTGGATGCTTCGCGCACTGATCAAGTATCAACTCTCGCCTCAGTCGATTGACCTCGCTTTGGGCCGACATAAAATCTTCCACACTGTCCTTCTTCTGATCCGTTCGTATTTCAGTGTCCTTAAAGGAGGGAAGAGAGAAAGAGAAAGAAAGATGACGAAAATGGCAATAGCAGTTTCTAACAACTTACTGTTGAATCAAAGCAACTAAGCAAGAATCTCAATTGTTTTAAAGTATGAGTGTGTACAAAAGTATAAAAGTAGCCAAATGTGAAATTGACAAACAAAACTAAAAGTTAAAATATTTTGTGTGCGCGCGCGCGTTGCGTGTGTGTACATGTGGGTATGTGTTTGTTACTGGTTCTCAGTGAATACAGAGATATATATATATATATATATATACAGTATATGTATACAGTGTATAAAGGTATTACAAAGTTTTGGTATGGGGTCATGAATTTGGTTCAAATTAACATATTGGAAGCATATGCGTTCCTACAATATACATTGATCGTTGTCGTGGTTGAAATCGAGTCTAAAGTTATGAAATTATAAATAATAAACTCTTTATTTTGTATAGCTCCCTCTCAAGGTCAAAATATTAATTTAGCTATGAAACAATGTTTCTTGACTGAAATCGACCGATTAGCTATTCCCGTTTGGAAATTATATATCCCAACTACATATTCTGAGATTTTCATGGTCGCAGCTACGATTGTACGGCCATAGGCGCTATTTGAAATTTATCAAAATTTTTATATTCAATTTTTCTTGAAAACAGAAGTGTTTTAGGGGCTATTTTTTTTAGTGCTTATAATACATCCACAGGGGCATCCAAATATATCAAAATTGTAAAGATTCACTATCCACCCAATTTTCAAAATTTCCCAAAACTTTGTATTACCTTTAAGTGGGTTACTGAGCATTGACGTAGCTTAACTAAACATGCAGTTATTTTAGGTCTGTTTTGTTTCTTGGTTAATGTATTCAACATGTTTAAATCATATATGCATTGAATAGAATTAATAGAGAATAGTGAGAAGAAAAAAATCATATCGTATCGTATTGTATCGTATCGCGTTGTTTTGTATCAAAAAGAAAAATTACGATTTGATATCATATTGAGTTTAAAACCGGTTAACAGAAACTGACCCTGGTTGTTTATTGTTCGTAAATATCCCTGTTACAGTGGCTATATAAGCTAGTTACCTTTACCTTATTAATATTCTTTTAATAAGGTAAAACATCTGTAAAACATCGATAACAGTGGAATAAAAGGTATTATATCCCTCATGTATAGTTGTTTGCATTGCGATTGTACAGAGCACGAAAAAGGTATAGATAAGTACTATCTACCTGAGATAGGTCTGTTTGTAAAGTAATTTTTGCTGCTGCCCCACTTGCGCGACTTGCGCATTGAATGAGCATAGCAAAGTAGGTTACGCGAAATGTCAAAGTCAATGTCAATGTCAAATGAGCGCGCATCGCATGTACGTATGTTGTGCTTTGTAAAATATAGCTGAAGCTAAACTGTCTGCAAAATCGGTTGTTTTAATTATGTAAAATTCACCTTAAATAGACCTTATTGCCGATGTGGGATATAAAACAAATATTAACCTCTTTTACTTGGGAAATGGATACAAACTATCATCGCCGAGGTGATGATAGTTTGCACCGTTACCCTCGTAGTCGATTAATATTTGCTTATTCGACTGATCTTTTCCTTTAATTAATGTCTAGTAGGATCAGTACAATAGACATAAGATGAAAGAATAACTCATCATTATGTAATATAACTTTTTTTTTTAAATTACCTGCCAAAACTGTTTACTAGCGTGTATGTTTCCTTGATCCTCTATTTATAATGTTATAGTGATTATTCTCACTATAGTCGTAAAAGACCATTCCGTGACAAATTCGGGATCCTTGGTTGTTTAACAGTGTTGAGTATTGATAATAGTTTCAAGCTCTTTGCTTATTTTACACTATCAAAATTGAGAGTTCAAGTAATAATGGTAGTGATGATGATGATGATTAATATGATAGTAACTACTTGATTGATGAAGTGACATCCATAAAACAGATTTTCTTTATACTAGCAAATAAGTTTGATAGTCAAGTTTGGGGCTTGCAAATTTTAGAGACCTATGTGCGTTGTTAAGCAAGCAGTTCTGCCGATAATGCTTTTTTTATTTGCGTGATTTCGAGATCCTCTCATGCCTGGTCTTAAGCTCGCCTTGACTCTCTGCCACCTTGTTGCGGTACCAAGTATTCGGAAATGAAGTATGGAGTAATGCAAATCATGCATATTTTTTGTTTCAAAGTCAAAGTGGCGACATGATCGAAATGTATATTCAAAACGGTTTATAATCAGTCAATGATTTCGATTTTTCTGACATAAGCACACATGTCAGTGGCGGAACCAGGCCCCCCCCCCCCCTTAGCGAATTATCGGCCGGCGCGATTTTCAAATTTTCAGGAGCAAAAAGAAAACAAATAGTGCTCACTACCCCCCACTGAGCGAATTATCGGCCGGCGCGATTTTCAAATTTTCAGGAGCAAAAAAAGAAAGAGAAAATTAGTGCTCACTACCCCCCCCCCCCCCCCCCGGAATGGTCTATTATTATTTAATTTCAGTATTTCAGTACGTTCTATCTTACTCCTGTTCTTTTTTCTATAATGCAGATACCTTTACGTAATCACATGTTTGCACCTTGAGTATTTGCTTTCCGGTGGATTCGGCGCCTTGCAAATATCATGTATTATTATCATGATCATTTTTAATATTACTATTATTATCGTCACATTAGATTTGATAAGAAAAGGCGTAAGCATTATTTAATATCCGATAGGGCGCATGCTCATTCAACTAAGTTCAAACTGATAAACGTCATGTGATACGGGGTCAAAGTTGAACACTAAAAAGGACACTTCAACTTTGACCCTGTTTCACAATACGTTAAATTTTTAAATATATATATCAACATGTTTTGTTACCTCATTTTCAGATTTTTGAACCATTGTCTCCGTCTTCGTCTTCAACTTCTCGGTGAGGTTTTGGAGAGAGTCTGGGTGCTCCTGAATCGCCCGATTAGAAAATTTTCCCGCTTTATCATTTTCTGGAGCTGGATCCGGGTGTTCCCATGGAAACGGCGGTGGATTGTTTTTACGTGGTTTCTCCAGGCTGATGCTTACTGCATAAAATATTCAAAAGCTAACATGATTAATGGACATTTCAATCGACATGTTGCTTAATTTAAAGGGGAAGATTAAATATCAAAGCGAAGAGGCAATATTTCTGTTTTAATCACATGGAAGATTGTAATCAATCATTCCTTAAGAAATCAAACGCAACCTCGTAAATTCGAATTAATAAATGTGAGTGGTGACACACCTGTAAAAGATAAATTTCCCTTTTCGAATTTCGGAGAGAATATTTAGGATAGAAAATGACAAGTCTAAAGCTAGATTGGTTAGCATTTTGGTAAACTAAAAGTAGAAGATAATTATTCATGGGTTACAACGGAACCGTTATGGTTCCGTTATGGTTCTTATAATTATATTAAATTGACATAAAACAAACTGACTATTAAAACTTTCTTTGCATAATAACGAACTGTAAAAACTGCGTAAAAACAAAATGTTTATGACATTACTTGATTATAGTGCCCACCTATATATCCATGCTAGAGGGTGCTCAAATCGCCTACAAAGTAGTATTATTATCTTGCCCTTAGGCGCTGAAAGCATTCAAGGAATAAAGTCCTACCAAGTGCCCATTTACTACACCTGAGTGGAGAGTAGCAAATGTAGATGGTAACTTGCTAGATGGCAAGACTCGAACCGCGAAAATGTGATCAACAGTCCGGTGAGGCATCCACTAGACAACAGTACCTTTTTCCAAGAATATTGGAAGACCTTTTCATTTTTTGTATTAATCGTAAACCAATGACTGTCGTTTGCACCCTTCTAGAGAAAAAGATGTCTTTCTCCCTCCCCCCCCCCCTTTTGTGTTTTAGGGGGAGGGGTGTTGAGTGTTTACAGACGTGTATATGATTATTTACGTCTGGGGACCGACCTTTAAACGTCACCATCTGATAGACGTGGCTCAGGTTCAAATCTGCGTCACCCCTTTTTATGCCGTTTTACATTTAAAGGGAAATTAACACAATATCGAAGCGAACGAAATCTAGACTGAGTTATATCCTTGTTGTCATAAAAAAAAGTAATTTCTTGTGGTTATTACCTTCAAATGTGTGGATGGTTGACAAGTAGACTGCCGTGTACACAAAGCAAGCCATGATGAAACTCATCATGCCCCACCGGCGCAAAAACCTTCCCCGTATCATCTTCAATATGCCCTGAAATGGAAGATGAAGATGAAGGTAAATATGGAGAAGTCCATTTATCATTTTACTTTTTTTTTGATGGAGTATAATAAACATATTAAATATAATGATAAATATGATAATAATAATAAATGACGATGATAATCATGTTGATATATTAATAATGATAATGATAATAATAATAATAATAATAATAATAATAATAATAATAATAATAATAATAATGTCAATAGTAATGATAATAATAATTGTAATCTATAAGGTACTATTGGAATTTTGCATCATCTATAATAGCTCTTGTAAACATATTGTGATACAATATTAGTATTAAAAGGTACTATGTCCCATTTGCAGGCCAAAAAAAATGATAAGGTTAAATTACAACGGCATTTGAAAGACAATACTAATTTAGAACTTCCCAACTACAACTAGAACGCTACTACTAGGGCAATGAGGTTCTAGATGGATTACTGCGGGGTAGTTGTCCGGGGGTAGTTGCCCGTGTTTAGGTGTCCCAAATGTAGTTGTATAGGGAGTCATTAGATGTAGGTATTTGTAAGTTATCCGCAGGTAAGTTGTCTGAGGTAGTTACCATGGGAGTTGTTGTCCTGGTGATTTTAAATTCTTACCCATTAAGTGGTGTATATGGTTTTCATGATGCAAAGGAAAATGGTACAGATATTAATTTACTACTTCATTATGCTTTATTTGCAATTAATAAAGCGATTGTTGTAAATAAATTTACTAAAAATGTAGCAACAAAAATAATAGGCAAATGTTGTTTGTTTATGTTAAAATTTCTACAGAAGGAGTTACATAATAATATCTCAATAAAGTTCAAGAATTGATAAATCTTTTCGCATTCGAAAAATACATGGATCATGGTACCAGGTGGGTTACAGTAGTAGCACAAATTGTTTTCTTTGATTTTTCATTTGAATAAACAGGTGTTGGGAAATACTATACATAAATTTAAAGTTGAATTGTATCAAGTAATTATCACGAACATACTTCAAATTAAGTAACCACAGAGAATCCCTCTTAATAACAAAAATTGTCTGTAAAGTTTTTTTCCAGAAATCTACCGCCCTAGATGATTTTTTAATTCATTTTACGAGTTCCGTTTATGTTTGTTTTTAACAGTAATACAGTGTATTGATAATTCAAAACTATTAAAATTCAAATTAGAATATATCATTGATTTACGTTTGAAACCTTTAAAAGCGTAAACTTGTTTGCCATATTCTATAATTTGCCCCCATCTTTGTTGCATAGCGGTTCGTATTTTATCATATTCACTCAACCATCTACTATCATAATAAATATTTTTATCTTTCAATTATTTGACTGTCAAAAATCTATTTCCTATCACTATATCCCCTACAAATAATATACCTGATTTATCCCATTTTTATACAACAATAACTTACCTTTAAATTTGATATCACAATTTAACCAAATCATTTCTTTTGTAACTCTTCCATATTAAGTGGGTTGTATATTTTTTTTACATAATTTAATTGCTTTACTGTAAACCACGTATAAAGTAAATCACAATAGACATCGGGTATTTTTCTTCTACAAGAAGTCACATATTTTGGTAAACATTTACAAACCATAATGATATCAATCCCTCCCATTTTTTTCAATCCAATACTAAATGAAATATAGTCGATTTCCCTTTTTTTCATGAAGTTCTTTAAAAACACAGAAAGCTAACCAACCATTGTATTCTTAACGACATAAATTGTGTACACATGTCAACCATATTCATGCCTCCATTTTGAAGAGTATATATCACGTTTTCCTTTTTCACTTTCGCTCTACTACCCCATACAAAATTATAAAATACAGAATAGAAATTGAGGAAAATAAAAGTAAGAAAACAGGTGTGAATACTACTAAGTGGATGATTTACACGAAATACATCTACAATCTGCTTTCAAGTAAATACAGATATATAATTTGATCTGATATGTGATGAAATGCTTGTTACAAATATTAATGTATGATGTTATGCATGATTTTGTATCTGAATAAAGATTTATTTCAACAACAACAAAAACAAAAACACGACGTTATCTTACCTACCCGGTGTAAAATCTATCTGGGAAATCCACATCAGGTCTTGGCTGCATGTATCGAATTAAATACGCTAAACGACGTGTATTAAAATAACCTGCACACTCACAGCTGTATAGTCGAATGCATGCTCATTGTTTGACAAAATTGAAACAATATAGAACTACACGATCTAACAGGAGAATACGCTGAAAAAATGAAGACAGTAAACGCACTACATTGTGGTTCTCAAGGCGTAGTGAAATAAGCCTTTGACACCACCACACTACCAGACCACTGTGTTTTAAGGATCATAAATGGTGTCACTCGGAGGCCTATATTGATTTAGTTCCCTTCTCGTCTTCTTTAATCTCCACATACTTCTGCGGACGGACCCGTTCAAAGACCGGTGATGAGGGGGACTAAGTCCGGGCGTCTTCGGAGGTAACAATACAGATAAGAAAGCTGTTGTGTTGATTGTGTGTGGATAGCGAGCCCTGGCTCAAGAACCAGCATCAATACGGTTTACTATTGTTATGGAAATACTATTGACTTTATGCAAATAAGTGGTGCGTGTACATACTTCTGCAGTCAACGTGCGAAAGAATTCGATTGATCAAAGGAAACCTCGAGAGATTTATGTGTTATTGCCTATCGGAGGCGAGTTGGCTCAGTCGGTAAAGCGTCTGCCTGTCCCACCTAGGCGGATGACTGAAGTCTGCGTTGGGTGTTAACGTGCCCTCCCCTTGTTTTATAGACGCAGGCTATATTATGTGGAAAACATTCCTTCCCTCGGATACGACGTTAAATAGAGGCCCCGTGTACAGGAGAGTCGCCACCCACCCGCACGTTAAGAACCCACTGCACTATTCGTATATCGCAGTAGGGGGAAACCCCGTGCACACCCCAATGAGGCCTATTATATATGGCATCTGCAAGAATAGGCAGATTATCTTGAAGAAGTTTGTTGATACGTCTAATACTTGTGGATGCTTCTAAATATGTGCAGTGATGAAATATTTCATTCATCTGTAAATAGTCTTTTCTTACTGTACTTATCAGAACGCAAATTGCATAAATTAGTTGTTGCTCTTCTGGAGTGAATGTTTCGCATAACTTGATTTGTCAAATGCTGTTTTAGTACGGATGAGTTACACTTGTCCCCCCTGTCGTATATTCTCCATCAAAAATCATTTGTATCTTTTCAGCTATGATTTTCCCTCATTGAAAAGTGTTTTCGGGAGGAATTAATATTTGTAGGAGTCTTTGTTGGAGCTAATTTCAATGTGATCTTCTGGTTGAGGTCTCGCACTGGAACGGAAGGGTGCCGTCATGAGGTTCAACTCGGTCGGGAAAAGGTCGGGATATGAGGTCCTTGCTTTGGGTATCCCAGACTGATGAACAATATTCCAATGACGGTCTGACAAGGGATCCAAGAGAACAATATGCCAATGAGTTAATATCTTCTGTGCACTTGTTCAAGTAACGTTTGACAAAGGCTACTCGGAGTTCTGTTACATTTAGCTGTTAACAGGTTTATTCCACTAAAGGTTTCTATTCCTAAATAAGTACACCGTTGCTCGTAAAGTTGGAAAAAAAAATTAAACCTCAATTTATGGATTTGTTTTGACAATGATTTATTCATAATAGATCTAGATAATAGTATACAATCTCAGATTTTATTGAATAATAATTTGCCAGTGTTTATTTTGCGTGACTGCTAAAGCATGTGTATGCTACTATGCTTATCAACTAGGGGACCTATACGCCCTTAAGTCATAAATGACAGTAATGGGGATTAATGCCCCACAAAAGGGCACTAATGTAGCACATCGACATGGTTTTGATCCTGGGGCCTCGCAGTTACGAGGCCATTGCTTTGCCACTGAACCATGACTGTACGCAGCGGGGGCTAGGGTTGGAGGCAGTACCCACAAATAAAAAAAACAAAGAAAATGCAATAAATTATCAATAATTCATTGTATTTTACCCCGGTCCCCAAAATAAAAAAATCCTCTGTACGGCCATGCATTATGGCTTAAGGCATGGGCACACAGAAGATATTTTTTTCTGTTGGGGACCGGGGGGAATTCAAAGAAGAATTTCGCAAGCTATCCGAAAATTCTTTGAATTTCAAATGTGGCCCTAAGAATGATCTTTACCCTATAATGTACAGTAAAGCTATAAACGTTTACATATACCTGGCAGAAGAAGAAAAAAACAATATACATTATTACAACTAAAATCATTTCTGCCTACTTTTCACTTCAGGAATGTTTAATGTGTATAGTAGATACATCACCTATATTCAGTCTGAGAAAAATTTCTTATAACAAAAATTATGTGACTCCTGAAAGGAATGAGTGCAGTGTTTTCCTTCCAGGTGTATGCAAACTGTCGGACCTAACTGCATGTCAAATTAAGCAATGGGTGTTACAGGTTTCGAACCTTGAATCATATAAAACGCTCTTTCACTTTACGATATTTTGGGGCCTGAAATTATGAGATCCTCTTAAAACATAAGTAACGGGCCGCAAGAAGAGCGTATCATGTTTAATCTAGTCATTATTTATTATATGCACTTTACCCTAGATAAGCATCCTCAAGTACAGTCCCCTCTCTTCCTTTCTAATTTGTCTAATTATTATTGTTTCTTCCCTTCCTGTGCCTCCCCCTCCCTGCTTTCCGGGGAGCACGCCCCCTCTACACCATTCTTCAGATCTATCAAAAACAGAAAGTGCACAATGGCTTGATTCCTTTTTTTACCTCGAATATTGTATTCTAAATCATGCATTACGACATCGTATGAAATATGGAAATTGATTTGTGATTTTGTTTAAATTTGAATCTTATTTGCAATTTTGTTTATGAGAGGAAACAATAAAAATGTATACAAACGAAGAATTGATATACCACTGGGGAAGCGATACCGGATAGTAAGGGGCATCGATCAATGCAACGTCATTATTTTGGGATAAAATGTGATGCAAGCTGATATTTTCCATAGAGCAATGAAGTTTTCCTTTTTTCTTTCTATCTATCCTTTGAGTATGTTGAAAATGTATATACAGTTTTATATTATCAAGGACGTAGGTAGTGGGGGATTTATTTTTATTTCAGTTATTATAATTTCTGAAAAACCTTGAGTTTAAAATATGTTTGATACAATGTTAAATGTGCTAACGATAAGTTTGAAAGAGTTCAAATGGAACATGTTTCATCTATTTCATTTTAATCATTACTTGCTCTACACAAAATACAAACTGAATAAGGCTATTGTATTCATCGTCTTTATTTTATAACCGTGTAAACCTATATTCCATTTCGCAATACAATTTCATTTGAATAATAATATTTTGTTTAATCTGTTTCTGAAGACTTTTATAAACGTGTTTTGTTCTCCTTCTTGATCTTACACTCTACAATAACGTAATTTTCAATCAAAATAATTTGAGAATCAGTCTTTCCTCGAGAGGTATTAACATAATCTTCCATGTTATCCGTCATTTTGATTATTGTGCATATCATTTGATGCAGTTCGTATAGCTTTATTAAAACCAACATTTGCAAAATCATTTTTGTTTCTTTTCCCTTTCTGTTTCTTTTAGTATGTCATTATGTTATATCAGAAAAAAATTGTCCCCCCCCCCCTTTACCTCTCTCTCTCCCCCTCTCTCTTTCTTTCTCTTCTCCTTTGGGCGTACCCCTAACCACTTCCTACTTCTGAGCTGGTCTTGTCATAAGCTCCTACCGAGACCCCTCCTTAATAATAATCATAATAGTGAACATTTGTAATGCGCCATGGGGTGTCTGTCAGAAATGACACTCATGACGCAATATTGAGAAAATGGTTTAGTTATAGGGATACATATATACAGTACTTAAAAAAAGGAAATAAAATAAGCATAAATCAATCACACATGTTTTTCAGGACAATACTTTGCAATAATAGAATAAAAAATATAATTTTCAATATAAAAGAAAGTTTACATTCTTATGGTATGATTTGAGATAAATCGGAAAAAAGAAGCGAAAGGCACTTTTGAAATATGTACACCATAACGACTGTACACTTTTGGCATCATGATGGTACATCAATGATTTTAATGAAGATCTGAAAACCATCTTCAGAACCACTTCTGTTTTATAATGACGTAAAGTGTATTTAATTTTTGTATTTCCTTTTTATTTCAAATTCAACATCCCATACTATCAACATAAGTCGACTATTTGTCGATTGCTGGTATTAAGAAATTACACAAGATTAGCCTATACAAGAGATAACCATGCGTTCTTCAGGACAAAACTTTGCAATAAAAGGCATGCAAATTAAAAGTGTTGATTAATGGGCAAGAATGAATTAGAGTTATTTTGGGGGTGATCGAGGTTTCCTTTAATCTCTTGCAGCCGTAGACTCTCTCTCTCTCTCTCTCTCTCTCTCTCTTTCTCTCCCTCTCTCTCTCTCTCTCTCTCTTATACAGTCTCTCTTTCTTTTATTTTCTCCCCCTCGTTCTCTCTCTCTCTCTCACTCAATGTCTGTCTTTCTTAATTATTGATCACTCCTTGTTAACCCCAATCCTAGAGCATGAGGTTGCAGATATATTTTGAATTTATTGGTTTCTTTATCATTCAGTCAAACATACATTTTCTATTACAATACGTAATTGGAACATAATTATGAAATAAAATAAAATGAACATGCTGAACATAAGTTAGAATGTAGGAGGGCTACAGTGTGTGCATGAAGCTTAATTTGCTTTCAGCCCTCTTCTGTAAGGGGAGAAAGAAAAGCAAATATTTTGTTATTGGATTAGAAAGTCTTTCCAACTACAGCTTGGTGAACGGTACATATACAACTTTGCCTGGTACGTCGCAATATTTTTTTTAAGCCTATGTCACGCTAAAAGACATTACATCATGTCAATAATGTCTCTAATTATATATATATATATATATATATATATATATATATATATATATATATTGTACGCTTTCGTAAGGAATATCTTACATGAAAGGGCATAAATACATCTCATTTTTCAAAATACATACACTTATTCTTTAAGGTGAGGTTTGCTATATACCTTACTGTACTGGGGGGGGGGGTGGCATGGGAGGCCCCCCTCGACATTTTCGGAGATTGCGCCGCAACCGCTTAGAATTTTGAATTGTCGTTTCATGACCTTTTTTTCCTTCAAGTCGTACGCACATTTTGATACCATTTTCGTCAAAATCGGATATACCTGTAAGGTGTTACATAACAATTTATTATGGGCATGTCATCAAAAAAGTGCTATAATTGCATATATTCATGTACAAGCAGAAATGTTAATACAGGTTTAGATGTTTTTCTTCCTAAGTGGGAGATATGAATTGATATCAAATTGCTTTTATATGCTTCTCAAAGTAACTTGATGTATTCCAGAACAAAAGAATACATTGGAAATAAAACAATAGATATAATAAGAAAAATAAATAAAATACATAAGAAAATAAATAGTTGAAAATCAAGTTATCATTAATTTCATCAAATAAATATTTTGTGTTAGAAAAGAAGTTTCATATGAACAATGAGTTTCAACATCCAAAAAGTGGAGTCTGACAATTTTTGTAATGATTCTAGTTCCCTGCATATTTCCAGATTTGATATTCATGAATGCGTAATTTGCGTATTCATAATTTATGCAAATTAACCTATGCATTTTCAAATATCATAAAAATAATAAAACCTCATGAATTTGAGGTGAAGGAAACATTTATTCAATACATTTTCAAGATTCTTCACAAGTCTAAAAACAAATATGTAGAGTTTTCTGTAAAATGCATAAAATTAGCATTTTGCATACTTAATTAGACTCTAACGACAACAATTTGCATATTAGGACATTTGGCGGCCGAGATCATAGGGGGGGGGGGATTGGAAGCCCCCCCCCCCCCCCCCCCAGTTAGTCAAAATAGCCCATTATACAGTAAGGGTTAATGGATAGTTTTAATGAACAAAAAAGTTTGTATGTGAACAAATAATTGGGGAAATAATATTACTACTCATCATGAATCTATTGATAACCTCAGTAGTAATGTATCAACAATTTGCCATTTGCGTAGGTCACTTAAATTTGTAAGAAAGGAAACGCCCGAGATTTCGGTACTCTACCACATTATTTCACTTATAACATTTATTTCTGATATACTGTAAAAGTTAACAAAAAGTTAACGTGAGGCTTCTTACTAATTTCTCAACAACTCATCCTTTACTCGTGTTAATTGACAAATTAGTCCCATATATAAATTATGCATTTCATACTGCTAATGTTTTCCTAGATTTTCCCAAGGATTTTGATACCATAACCATATTTTACTGCACAGATTATTCTACTATGGGATTTGATGAAAGGGCTTGGAGTGGTTCAGTGATTACTGCACCGACAGAAAAATGTATGTTACATAGAATCACAGATCACTGGTCAAGAGTCTCATTGACGATTAATGATATTTTTCGGCCTTCCTCAATGATCACTTCTGGGTCCCTAGTTATTTTTTTTTATATCTAGTATGAATGACTTCCACTGTTCTCCTGAAATCATGCCATTTACTCTGTATGCTTCTGTATTATTTACAATTGCATATGACTTATGATCGTCATTAATCTAGTGTTTACTACCGTGATGACCATGATCATACTATGTAAACTGTTGACCCATGCAGAAATAAATAAATAAAATAAAATAAATTAATTAATTAATTTAGTGTGTTTCCTGATGATCCCAATGATTTTTATTCGCATCGCAACCCACAAACTATTATGTAAAAATGGTAAATAATCATAACGAATTAAATATGGTCCAAATTTGGATAAATAAAAACATTTTCACGAATCGGGTATAAACCATGGTTTTGGATAGCCAAAGAACGTGAAATCATTCTTAAATATGTCCCACAAATTGATCAGATCTTCTTGAGGGAGTTTGGTATAGTATCCTTCGTATACACCCGCTTCTGAGCTATTCGTGGGTCTACTCGTATTCGCACCGAGGTATGTCACCTTTTCATTTACTCCCAATTTCTCTAGAAAGTATTTCGACTCTTCAGCAACGTTCTCCAGGAGGCCGATGAAGTCGTAATCGACGGCGCATGGTGAACAGATCTTGTTCATTTCCGCCCAGTGATCACTGAAGTAAACATCTGACTTTTCGAACCTTCGTCGTCTCTCGGTGTGGGTCAGATACTGTACGAACTCTGGCCATGTCGAATTCTCACCAGTCATTAGCTCGGCCTCGCTGGCGCCGAGCCGCCAACGTTTGATGATCTCTCTCCCAAAGCGATGGAAATGTCGATTGTTGCGATAAACTTTGGCATTTTCTAGCTTATTCTTAAATACAGAGAGAACTCTCTCAAAAGGATGTCGCACAAAGAAGAATTTCTTGTAGTCGCGTAGAATCCGTGTTCGTTCTTCAGGTCCATACGTTATCAGAAATTTGAATTTTCCGTTTATATGGACTTCATCAGACGTTAGCCCGTCGACGGAGTCTGTTTGATTGTCAAGCACCATCAGAATCCTCTTCCAGTTGCTGCATCCCACTTTCGGGATGAAACAGTAGACGAGATTATAATCTTCAACAACAAGCATGTGTTTTATTGTGTATTCTGATACCGTGTTTGACATCTGTGCTAATTTGCACTCTTTTCTCAATGTGGAGCGTCGCTCGGACTGTTTGCGTTCGACAACCACTTTCGGATCTTCCGCTTTTTCTGAGGCACGGTGTGCTCGACTTATTTGATACTTCATGGATGTTCCTGGAGAAGAAAAGGAATGATATATAATTATTAAGAACGAGGCATTCATTTGTTGTTTTCAGCAGTCCTTAACCTCATCTGTCTTCACAGTTCTCTGTTTCAGGCCTGCTTTATTTACATGTGACAGTGTGGATAGCAGTTGCTAGATGCATATGATTCGACGTAGTCTCTCTAAGCAGAGGTAATAAACATGGGACATGTATTTTAAGAGGGAAAAAATTGACAATTCGTCTAACAGATTAATAAAATATATAGGGCCTTAAAGGGATAGTTGGGTTCTGTTGCAAAGGGCGCTACACAAAATATTTTTTGTGAGATAATGAAAAACTGAGTGTCAAATTTGAAAGAACAAAATATTAAAATGACATAATCATCTTTGTATGATCAAAATCGGTTCAGAGACGGCTGAAATATAACGATTTCTATTACTTGTGTACCACCACAAATATTAGATATTTTGAAAAATCTGAAAAAAACCGTTGAAAAAAACGAAATAACGCCTTTTTACGTCGTATTTCAGCCAATGCCGATATTGGCTTATTTGTTGGCATTTTCGTGTTGCTATTACCCACAATTAGCCGGCTCATGTATTGTTATTTTTAATTAAATAATTAATAAACGGTCACCGTGTTGTTTTGAAAGTGGAGCTGAATTGGTATGATCGTATAAAATTGGCTAAATTTCACACATTTTGGGGTGTAAAATTACCTTCATAGCAATTTTAGGTTCCAAAAGGGCACTATAAATGTCATAGATAAAAATATGAGCAATAACAATGCACTTTGAAGGCATTTGCGGTCTGAAAACAGAACTGAACTATCCCTTTAATTGTAACGGATCCATGTAGAGGTAAGGGCATAGGTGCTTTCCCTCCACATCCAATCCGACCAACTCAAATCCCCCATACATTTACTACACATCCAGCACAAAAATAATGTCTACACAAGTAATCGCAACCTGCCCCCCCCCCCTCCCCCGCCCACCCCCTCGTCAGGGAATCCAGGAGCTGCCACTGTATGATCAACTAATGATTTAATGACCTCACTTATCTATCAACTACTTAATAGCGCTTAGAGACTTCGGTGGTAAGCGCTTTATAAGTAACGTTTTTATTATTATTATTATAATAAAGAATAGCCATATATAATCATAATCATACTCATACCATATAGACCTACTCATAATCGTAATCATATTCATATTCTTATTCATAAGTCATATAGTCATATTCATTATCATAATCCTAATCCTAATCCCAATGTAAATTTTAAACAGCGCTAATTAATATCATGTTTCAAAATGCTATACTGCTACTACCCTCACTGTAGCCGATCTATACCATGATGATGCGCTAGTACTATATAGTATAGCATTCAAGGAACTTCTTCCCATAGACTATCTTTTGGCATCACCTGGGTGGGGAGTGGCAAATGTAGACCTGTACATATTTTGGTCCTGCCAGAGGACGTTAGTGTCGCGTAGTAGAGATGAGAGTTATAGGCCTACCTCTTTCCTGTGTGATTGAAGCCATGTAGAAACCCGTCTCCCATGCTACGATCATCACCGTGGCAACCACACACAACGCACACCACCTCATCAGGTTTCTCCTCATCGACAGGGGGTCAAGATCCTCTAGACCAAATCCGTATCTATCGTGACGGAGAGAAAGATGGAGAGGAGTGTTGACGGAAGAGAGAGAGAGAGTGGGTGTGAGGGAGATAGAAGGGGAGAAAGGGAGAGAGGGAGAAAGAGAGAGAGAGAGAGAGAGAGAGAGAGGGGGGAGGAAGGGGGAGAAAGAGTGTCAGAATCGAGAATGGGATGAGGGAAGAAAGTAAGAGTGAAAGGGGAAAAAGAGATAGATAGAGACGGACCGGGAAACAGAGGGGATGGGGACCAGAGACGAGAGAGAGAAAGTGGGATAGACCGGGATGAGGGAAGAGAGAAATGGGAAAAGAGAGAAAGAGATAGGGGAGAGAGAGGGTGGAGAGAAAGAAATAGAGGGGGAAAAGGTGTTATAATTGCAATAATATATCGTGATAAGGTTTTTACTAAAGTACTACCTTTCTAAATAATATTATATTATATAGCTACACGATATGAAGGAGGCGAGATGGCCCAGAGGTAGAGCAGTGGTCTCGTACCGGGAAGGTCCCGGGTTCGCAACCAAGTCGATGCGCTAGTGCTCTTTGGTATAAGGCATTAATCAACAGTTCAAGTCCGTCGGAGAAGGACGTTAACTTACAAGCATATACTTGCACATACTTTCTTTGCAGTCAGGTAAAACAAGCCATCAAACCGAACCCGACCATATTTGATCATGTGTATGCGATTTTTTTTTCAATGTTCTTTGACACGGGAAGTTTCCACGATCTTTCGTGTATATAAAAGCATTATTCATTATCCTTAGCTTCCACCTCAACTAAAACATACAGTGAACATTCTTTTACTTACGCCTCCTCAGCAGGCACGTAGCCAGAGTTTGATATTTTTTTGGGGGGGGGCACATACATGTAATCGATCGAGGTAAAAAAAAAAAGGGGGGGTCGAAACAAATTTCAACCGATCTTGCAAAAAAAATTGGGGGCACATGCCCCCCGTACCCCTGCCCCCCCCCCCCCCCCCCCCTCGTTGCTACGTGCCTATCCCTCAGTTTTTTTAATGCACTTCCAGATTCCATGAGAAATCACAATGATTTAAACAAGTTTAAGATTTCTCTTATAACGTATTTATTCAATGTTAAAAGCATAAACCACTGAACTCAGTGTCCAACACCACATGCACTGTTTTTGCTTCTAAGTGGATTTTCTAATCTGTATTACTTTTATTCTTTCCTTTCTATGTAAAGCGCATAGGGACATGCTATCCAGAATGTATTATGCGCTTTAAAAGAACTGATTAGTATTTCTTCTAATTCAACGTACTCTTTCAGCTTATGCTGACAATGAAAAAAATGATACTTAAATACACAAGGAGCTTTGCATGTTGATCAATGCATACCAGTAATATATGTTACCCAAACACGAGAAAATATAGATTTTGCCTCCATTAATGTATTCAATGCAAACATTCAGGCGTTATCCGTTCCCAACCAGCCGCTTTCCACATTTCCATGCGCACTCCACTATGACATGACGGACAAAGAAAGAGGACAAAATATACAGTTCCTCATTCTACCCTCAACAATTGATGTGGTAGACAAAGGAACATCCCTTCACTGCTATTATGTAAAAATGTGTAGAACAGGTGAATTATGCATGTGACACCCGTTTTACATGAAAGAAAGGCCAATAAATTCACTCTTAGACGCTTTTCAGTTAATGGAAGGTTATTTTATTTTTGAAGGCAACAAAACAGCCCCTGTAGAAACACAAGAGTAAAAACAAATGTAAATTAAAAACATCATAATATTCGAATAACCAATTACATAATTATATACTTCATGATCTGTATCAGCAATAAAGAAGGTGTTCAGTAAATAAGTTCATTATAGACCAGCTTCAAACATTGTATCAACTAAATAATCATCACTATTATTTTCATGACTTTGTAGAGATAAGAGTGTGAGGTATTGTGAATGGAAATTGTATTAGCGTGTTCACTCGTCACACAACATAACTCTTATTTTTATTTAGGTACGAGGAAACAAGGTTGCACTGACAATAAAATACATGAAAGAAAGTATTCCCTTTTCGTTAGTTTATTGGGTACTGAATAATGCAGACTTGACTTGACTTAAGTGCTCAGGACGGAGTGTCCCCTTGCGCTCCTACGGATGGTCTGCCTCCATTCATTTCTGTCCTGGGCTTGGTGTTGGGCAGCCTCCAGGCTTAATCCAGAGTCTTGGCGGATTTGGTCTTTCCACCTCAGGGGAGGACGTCCTACGGTGGCCGTGGCACAGTAAAGTCATTGGTGTGGACTTGTATTGGTAGGCGTTCCTGTGGCATACGTACCACATGTCCAAACCATTTCAGGCGGCGGTTGGATATTTCCTCATTTATTGTCTTGGAGATTTTCAATGACTTTCTGATGTCTACGCTTCTGATTTTAACTAGAAGATGGACTCCTGCTATTGTCCGCAGACATCTCATCTCAAAGGTCTCCAGTTTATCCCGGTCAGTTTTCCTTAGCGTCCACGTCTCAGACCCGTAGGTAGCTATAGGACGAATGAGGGCATTATAAATCCTGACCTTCAGGGCTCTTGAAATATCTTGGTTGGTCCATATATTGTTTCTCAGTCTGCCAAATGCCCAGGAAGCTAGATTTGTGCGTCTCTTGACATCTTTGGTAACAGAGGGGACTACACTTCCAAGGAAGACAAAGTCTTCTACCTTCTCTATAGGGTTGCCATCTATTCACAATATAATGCCTTACATCACTTAAGCAAAACCTAAATTACAGTTGAAGTGTAAAAAGTAACAACAGATTCATTCAATACATAATGCAAACAATATCTTTTTAATACAAATAAAAAAAATTCAATAAACCTCACCACCCACACTATATATATATTTTAAAAAAGGCCAGTCTTCAACGTACGCCCTTGTACAATATAGTCTTTGTGTTAAACGTAATATTTAACAATTAACATACAGCAAAATTCAAAGGTACGAATACATACAATTCAGTTATATAGACCATTAATCTGTGTAAAATCGTAAAACATCGTACCACCAATAAAATTAACAAGTGCAAGTTTAGGATTTCACTTCGTGTACATGCACATACGCCACTCAAATACTATAAAAAGGATCGCATATTCCAAGAACCCATTACACACTCAAATGCTGCCAATATCCAAAGGGACATCAATAATTGTTCAACAAGCATATAAGTAGGATACAATCATGTACATATATAACAATACATAAATGTAACATTTATAAGGATAATCGAATGATTAACTCACATGTAACTCAATTGCCCACTATGCACGTGCACCACTTGTGACTTCTCTGCAGTAATGTCTTCTCCAGTAATGTGAAAGTAGATATTCATTGATTTAAAAAACTAACTTTATATTCTTTATTGCAAAGTTGAAACTTTGATTCGACAAGGTTATCAAAATTCAATGCTTGGAAACATTCGAAGTGATGATTGTTATAAATTACAAAACGCTTAAATACAACCCCGGCATAGCACCTGAAGAGCTCTCCAAACGCTGCTGAGATGTGTGAGATCACAGTATACGGACATGATTTGCACAAGCAGACGATGTCCCATGACATCTCACACGTTTTCAGTGCCTGTGTTTTCATTTTCTCTTGAGTTCTTTCTTTTACTTCACTACCGTCAGTCTTAAAGATAAACTCCAGTACTGGTAAAAAAAAAAAAATAATTCTCACAGAATCAAACGAAACTTACACTGAATGTTCAAGATTACAAATAAATGACATGTGCCAAACAATTTTGGAAGAAAATGTAGACTGGCTGAGTAATGAGCATAGAAAGACAAAGAAATCAAGGTAGTACTAGCCCCGACACCATGTATGTTGTCCCATATATAGCTATCTATGTGAGTACTTGTTACTTTACAAAGACTCGGTCAAATTTATTATGATTTTGATGACTCCAGAACCTTGCAGTGCACACCAATACTTACATGCTACATGATCAACTCTTTCTGATCCTTTCCACACCTTTTCTTTCACAATGCAATCGCATTACCAGTACTAAAGTTTATCTTTAAGTATAATCTATTGCCTCACTCTAAACCCCGCGCATGGATTTATTTTGATGACAAATGCAGCGATACAAAAATAAAGGAATTTGTCGCTTGTAAACAAAATAAGACGCCATTGTATATTCAGCAGCACCAGGCGCGTACACAGGGGGGGGGGGGGGGGGGTATTTGGGGGGTTAACCCCCCCCCCTTGGATTTTTTTTAATTTTTTAAATTACACTGTCGCTCATAAAGGTGGAATATTTTAGTTTTACCCCAATTTATGGAATTATTTTAAAAATTATTTAAAAATAGTAGATATAGATAAAAGTATACATTCTCAGATTTTATTGAATAATAACTTGCCAATGTGTGTTTTGCGGAACTGCTAAAGCATGTGTATGCTACTATGCTTATTAACTAGGGGACCTACGCTCTCAAGTCATAAATGACAGTAATGAGGATTAATGCCCCACAAAAGGGCACTAATATAGCACATCGACACGGTTTTGATCCTGGGGCCTTACAGTTACGAGGCCATTGTTTTGTCACTGAACCATGACTGTACGCAGCGGGGGCTAGGGTAGGGGGCAGTTTCCATAAATTAAAAAAAACAAAGAAAATGCAATAAATTTTCAATAATTTATTGCATTTTACCCCGGTCCCCAACATAACAAAATCCTCTGGATGGCCATGCATTATGGCTCAAGGCATGGGCACACAGAATTTTTTTTAATGTTAGGCACCGGGGTTAAATGCAATAAATTATTGAAAATTTATTGCATTTTCTGTTTTTTATTTTTATTTATGGAAACTGCCCCCTACCCTAGCCCCCGCTGCGTACAGTCATGGTTCAGTGACAAAGCAGTGGCCTCGTAACTGTGAGGCCCCAGGATCAAAACCGTGTCGATGTGCTATATTAGTGCCCTTTTGTTGGGCATTAATCCTCATTACTGTCATTTATGACTTGAGAGCGTAGGTCCCCTAGTT